GTATATTTTTAATGTTTTTTTTCAATATTCCATTAAAGTGATAGAAATATTTAATATTATTATACAATTATTATGTTTAAGTATTATCAGTGAAACAATTATTTTTGCATTTCAAAAATATTTAACAAAATTGATGAACAAGTATAGCATATAAAATTGATGTCATAAAAACGCCAAATTGACTATTTGACGTTGATACATTAGATCGATAATCTGAAGTCTGAAAGAACGTCGATACCGTCCGTCATCGTTTATTGTTTCAGAAACGAAGTTGAATGCCATCTTTTGCTCTATGTTTTTAGTTATATTCTTCGTGATAGTTCCTTTATATATTACATAAACTTCCGAATAAGCTTTCAAATAACTTTTATTAAATGAACTACGTTAAACATAAGCTTTTTTGTAAAGCTGTCACAGTCTCTCTCTCTTTTTGTTCTCATCAAATAAAATCAAATATACTCTCGACAATTAACAGTCGATTATTATTATAGATTTTATGGAGTCTGCACGTCTCTTAATTTGCTTATTTACATCTCTCGTAAATTAACATTTGCAGTCTAAAAGTCATATAATTTTTCGATTTATCTTATGCAATAAACTTATTATTAATGCAATTTATCAATTTTTGGCGATACATTATTTAATTTTGAAAAATTAATCTTTCTTTAATAAAAACATAAAAATTAATTTTTCTTTAAAAATATCAAGACAGCAAAAACCTATTAGTAATAAATATAATTGCATATGATTGAAAATTCGCGGACTAGTATTTTAACTTAAAAGAGGCAAATCAATTCTTCTATTAAAAAATATAACATTATATATTGATTTTTTATAATTAAAATTATTATTTATATTCGTAGATTTCTAGGTAGCAAGCTGACGTAATTAAACGTCAAAATGATGTCATTTTGATGTGAAATGACGTTATTTTGACGTTGAATGACGTCAGCTTGCTATCTGGGTTAGAAATGTTAATTTATTTTATAAATGTAATAATTTTAAAAAAGATTTAACTGTTTATTGTAATGCAAAATAAAGCTTAAAAAAGCATGAATATTCTGCGATTATAAGAAAAAGAAATTCTTAATGTTGCAACAATACAAAGTGATGCGTGTAATCACGCCGTCGTTGAGAAATGGCCGAGTAGCGGGAACATCTGGCGCTTTGAAGCGGAAAACGGGCAAATCTTTTCTCATTTTTCTCATCTGCCTGAGATGATGCGCTTTTCAGTTAGCGTTTTTTTGCCGCAAACATCGTAGATTTTTGAGTTTATTTTCGCATCGGATAAATATGGATTCCCTCGAGAAATAAAGAAATAATTAAGCGAACGAACAAAAAAGGTTCGTGACTTGCGCAAGTTTATAACGACTTTCTTGAATTTCGTCAGCATTTGTGTCCTACATATTACGCAAACAATTTTCCGAGCAGAACCGGTAATGGAGAACTTTACGATGGACTCGGTCTTAAGTTTCTGAGTTTTTGCTGCGCGGAGTCGCCGCACTTCTCTCTCTCGTTTACGTCTTATCACGCCACCAGCAATTATCTCAACTTCAAGATGAAGTAGGCCAATGAGTCTAGATTTTCCAAATTTTCTTTCACACTCTTCTGGAATCTTATTCGTCACCCTAAAATTTTAAAAGCCTTCTATCGCGTCGTTTCCGAATTATCGGAAACAAGAGGTTCGCGTGAACGCGTAGGCAGCTGATTTCGCATTTCCCGCACGCGGAGTTAGTTGGATGACCCGCTTGGAATTTTCAAAATGGTCTGACAGCCCGGTTGTTTGCATCTCGTTTGCACCTGGCGAAGAAGAAAGTTTTGGAAATTCTCGGCGGGCGCCCGCTTCGCCCTAGATCCGGGGAAGTTTTTTCGATAACTCGAAAATTATGGGCGCCCAATGGTCGTTTCTCCACATCTGGCCGGCAGAAACGACGTGTAAAGTCAACTTCTATAAAATCGAAGATTCTGGACACAAGTCGAACTGTTATACAGTTTTATAAAAACTATTGGAATCGGCAGAAAGATATATGTAACAATATAAGTAAAGAAGTAAGAGAGATTTTTTTTATAAATTGTGAAAGATAAAGATATTTCTCTCTCTCAGGATTGAGTGTTCATTGTTTAGTACAGAAAAGCTTCAAAATAAATCTATATTAGATTAGGTATTTTAGCTAAATTTACATGTAAATAAAAAATTTTTTTCTCGTATATAATTTATAAAAAATTTTTCTCTCTCTAAAGAGAGAAGAAAAATTTTTCTTTTACATGTAAATTTAGCTAATATATTTAATTTGATATAGATTTGTTTTGAAGTTTTTATATACTAAACAATCAACGCTAAATTTGTTGAAATCTATTTTCTTCCACATGTAATTTGTGTAATTCATGGTTACGTTGTAAGAAAGAAAAGCATATAAAGCTTATTGCAATACGGATTGGTATATGTCATCACGACTCGTTGAAAAATAGCCAAGCAGTAGAAGCATATGGCGCTCCGAATCGAAGAACAGCTTTCTTTCACGTTTCTTTTTGATTTCCTCGTCAGCTGGCGCGGAGTATAATAATATTTTTGGTTCGAAGGTCATTACTTCTTAAGCCCGAATATTTCTGATATCTCAAGAAATATTGCCCGGTTTTCATCGATTTTAAAGCATTCTGTATAGAGCAAGTAAAACATTAAAAATGAAATCTAAAGTACGTGTGTTGCTAAGGAGATACATATTTTACAAAGTTATATCAAACGTTTCAAACTTTTTTTGTAAATATAAATTGTTTAATAAACTTGGACTTTCTTAAATTATATTTTGTTAATTTTGATTAAATCTTTTAAAACTTAACTAACTTTACTGAAATATAAATTGTTTGAAATTAAATAAAAAATAATATTAATTCTGTAATTTATTTAATTACTTAATTTTTAGAGTTAAATAATTTTATATTTAATGTGTCTTTTTTAGGAAATAACAAGAATAATTTGAAGAGAAAAAATATGTATAGCTTCTGACATATATACGTATGTATATATATACGTAACATGATATTGTTTATCTCACGAAAATCAATATGTTTTACTTCATATTTTATTCAGGTTGTATATTCGTGCAGATCGAGATCATATTTATGTGCTTGCACTTCGTTATGTAATTTGCTGCTATGAAAAAAATATGTCTCCATAATGGTAAGTTCAGAACTGCGCGTAATCACAGCAACGTTGAGAAATGGTCGAGTAGCAGTAGCATCTGGTGGGTTGAACTGAGCCGGGAAGAGAAAGACGGGAGAAGCTTTCTCTGGTTTTCTTGTTGATTTCCTCGTCGTCCCGCGTGAACAAGAATAATGCTCTCTGCCCGATATCAGACCCAGTACCAGATGCCAGCTTACGAAGATCGATACACGATGTTATTATTGCGCCCGGAAACGGGTATCGTTTATTCGAAGAAGAAGGGGTGGAGAGAAGAATCATTTCGAATCGCGAGATTATTGACCCAGCGAATCCGACTTTGTGCACATAAAAACATAAATTAATCAGCGCAAAAAGATAATTCAATAGTTGCGAGTCTTTTATTTTTTACCGAGCATTTTTTACCGGCAACAAAAAAATGGAAATCGCGTATAATATTTCATGCTGATGTTGGAATCACCTGCTGAAGCTTTAGAATCGATTGGTTGCGGTATCGAATGCATTAGGGACGATAAAATAAATTTTTTTTAATTTCTCTTATTTTTCATTAACATTATTTATCAATTGACATTTCTATTTTATTATTCATATGTATGCAAAATAATATACGCTCCAGATATGCATAAAAACTAATTCTGTTTCTAAAATATAAATATATTCTTTTACGTTGAGAATATGTTTTTAGCTAATGTCTCGACAACCTTCTGGTCATATGTTGAGATATTTGTGTTATATATTTTGACAATAAGATCCTCCTTTTGCGGGATGAGTCTCTGAGAGTCGTCTACCGGAATCTCCGGGATTTCGAAATATCCTGATATTCTGCCCGATGTCTTCGCGAAAGAGATTGGTTCAGAGACGGTACGCAGAAGCCAATGTGATTGTACGTGGATACAGAAGGGATTGCGGCAGGTCACGTCACGCTTCACTTAAAACAAGTAAAGGCCGCGGCAAAACCGTAGGACGGAACCAGAGTGGATAACCGGATAAACCTAAGCCGAAGGATCTCTGTCCTCCTACATGATGCGTCTGGCCTATACGTGCAGGACATACCTGCAACGAAGAATGGTTACCTTGTTTCGTGAAATGTTCTCTGTTAAAGTTGTGATATGGATACAAAAACTTTTAATACAGTAGTTCGTTGTCGGTGAATTATTAGAAAAATATAATTGATTATTTGTATTCGTTCTTTATTATAAAAAAAAACGCATTTTTTCTCGATTTAAATTAAAAAGTGAAAATGCATTAATATATATCGTTTATTTGATGTGACATTTAATAAGATATAAATTGTACGAAGAATAAACAGTGTAATAATCTCATAAAATTAATGTTCAGTTTTAATAATAATCTCATATATTACAAAAATTGGAATATCTCAACATACGACCATCAGGAAGTTGTCGAAACGTCAACTAGCTAAAAATATATTCTTAATGTAAAAGAATAAATTTATATTTTAAAAATAGAATTAATTTTTACAAAATATCCAAATATTTTAGATTTCTTGTTTTAAATTTTTATGCTTATGTTTATATTATTTTTCAACAAAACTATATTTATATTATTTATATTTCATATTATCTTAACAAAAATATATACATATGTATAAAGCTTATAAAATCATGAATTTCTAATGTGTTGTTATATCATCACAATATTTATCTCTAAACGATTTACATAATATATATAATGTATATTATAGTCAGATGCACTCTTCGAGTTTATTATCCCCACTTTTTAAGCGGGGAAATGAGTCATCTGTTCTATCAGTAGAATTACTTATCTTGTTACTTTCATTTGCTGCGCAGTTCATACTGAATCGTGTCGCTGATATGATCGTGTTTGACTTGTACATACGTAAGATAGTGACTGTGACGTTTTTGCAGTGAATCTCATAAACAAGTTTTGCTGACAGCATCAAATAGAAGATACACATAGGTAAGTTTATGCATTAACGCGATTGATGTTAATCGAAATGCCATTTCCACAAATTTATGGTTGAATTTAACATCACTGCGATTGTAGATGCTAATAATTGCGTTTTTTATGTGCTTGAAAATTATTTTCGGCTCAGTAGTTATTAGTGGCATGTCAACCGCGAGCTACGTCGTACTTGCAGACAGGCAATTATGGATCGCTGGATTGGTAAAACCGCAGTCGTTACCGGAGCTGCATCCGGCATCGGCCAAGCAATTACATGCGCTCTTCTGCGGTACGGAGTAAACGTGGCTGCTATAGATATCATGAATGAAAAATTGATCGAACTTAAAGCGGAAAAGCAAAAATTGCCAGGCAAATTAGAAACTATATTGTGCGATGTAAGTTGCGAGGATGAACTTAATAGGGCATTCAGTGAAATTGAAACAAAAATGATGGGTGTGGACATTATGATCAACAATGCTGCTTATTGTGAATACACACGCGTAATTGGTAATGACATTATACATATTTATATTTACGCATGATATTATATGTAGACAGAGACAGAAGGTGAAAGAAGTAGGATTTAAAGATTTTAGTGTTTAAATAAGTATTATATTTATGCTTCTTTATTTTTATATTAACAAGCTAATAATCCTTTTTCTATAATAAATTGCGAAAATATAATTTTGAGCTGAAGAGAAATTCTTAAAAAAGTTTCACTTAAAAATTTAATTATGAATATGAAATGTTCTTAAATTCTCAGAAACATAATAACGTCTTACGCGAAGAACGTTATAGTTAAAGAGGCTCTTATTTTTATTACTGTTGCTGCGATGGCAAGTAGAAGATATTGACAATAAAAGACTGAACTTTTAAACTGTCTCTTTTGTTAAAAAAAAAGAAATTTATAAATTATATTTGCAGATAGTGATTGGAAAACATTTCAAGTAATAATGAATACTAATGTCACAGCATATGCTGCATGCATGAATAAGGCAGTAAATTCGATGTACAAACGAAATGTCGAAGGGCATATTTTCAATATTAACAGGTACTATTATTTAATTTGTTCATTAATTACATATATATAGATAAACTTTGAAATAAATTTGGATAAATTCTTAATATAAATAAAACATTTTCTAAACAAACATTTGTTCTTGGTTTCCTATAATGAAGCGGAAATGTGAGAAATCTTTTTAAAAATTTTTATTTATTGTTAATATTTATTATTAATAAATTTAGTAAGATAGATAATTTGGAATTTATAGTGTTGTAGGTCACTGCATTCCAGGAAAGCCTTCTAAAGAAAATGTTGATATCGCATTTGATTTTAATTTGTATGTCGCTTCTAAGCACGCAACTGTTGCTTTAACTCATACGTTACGACGAGAAGTAGCGGATATCAGACCTTATATTCGAATTACAGTAAGTTGTTTCAATCATTATGCTTGGTATTGAAATATTGATAATAAAAAATTAGAATAAAAACTTTTATATAAAAGTCATGTAATAAATATATATTTCAGGATTTTTTATGTAGGATGCGATATATTATCAATGTATAATTATATTATGTATACTTTTACCAAAGTAGAATTTATAAGGTTCCAATTTGTTTATTTGTCTTTTTAGAGTATCAGTCCTGGTCTTGTAAACACGAGTATAGATTTACGATCGGAAGAAGCACATGATACTTTCAAAAAATTACCATCTCTTCAACCGGAAGATATAGCGGATGCAATCATTTATGCTCTTGGAACACGGCAAGAAGTTCAGGTTTCATTTTCAGTCGCTTTTTTTTAATACAAAATTTTTTTAGATTATTTTACACGTTTAATTTCAGATTACGGAGCTTACTATTCAACATACTGGGGAAATTCCATGAAAAATATTTTTAGCAACACACATATACATCTTAGCACATCATTTTACAAGAAACTTATAGTATAAAGTAAGAAACTTGTTTCGTAAATTAAGCTTGTGTGTTGTTTGCATTTTTTAAAATACTTAACATGCCTTTTTTAAAGAAATAAAATTTTGTATGTTAATTTTTGTGTGCATGCATGATGATATATCCCAGGTAGCAAGCTGACGTTATTAAACGTCAAAATGACGTCAGCTTGCTACCTGGGATAATTGTTTATAATATACTTTTATATTTTACACATGCATTTATCTCAAGTTGCACAATTAAATTTATTGCGAAAAATAGTAATCAAATAAAATAAAATTGTGAAAATAATGATTTCAATATTTATTTTTATCAGCGCGCAGTGCTTGACACTTTGCGCGCATCGCGTTTTAAAAAAATATATTCAAATTTGTGACATATTTTGCTTATCGTGCGATGTAACGTTATCGGCAATATGTTCGTTTGTAATCGCTTCATTCAAATTTCGACAAAGTAGTTGTTACACACGATCGGTGGTTTCATCCTGCTTGGCGCATGACAAATACAGCGATGCATGTCATATGGCATTTGCACTAACGATCGAAACGCGCGTTTCCTACACACTATTGCATATCCGTATACGTGTTTCTAAACGTAAATTTCCGACGACGACGACGATAGCAGCTCACATTGTACCGAGTTCGACTGTCAACTAGGAAGGGGGACATTTGAGGCGATAGTTAAGGTGTCAAACAAATTCCGTCGCGCTTCAAGTAGAGGGCTATTTGAGTGAGGTTGAATCACGTCACCTATCAGCCGCGAGAGAAAAATCGATTTCCCCAGCATACGTCAGATGCATCGGGTCTTGTTAAATTTTAAGTTTAGCTCTGTGATGAGTTTTCGCTTCTCGCAACGTTTTAAATGAAATATTATTTCAGATTTATTGCATATATTTAAAAAATTACATAAAATTTAACGCAATCAGAATTTTGCTTCTTTTATCGCGTAATGCTGAAATGCTACATTGACAATGTATGATTGCATAATATAATTTGAAATTATTTTAATTTCAGTTTGCTTGCAATTTTGTATATAAATGTATTTTATACAAAATAACATTGTTATTTTCTCATGCTAATTAATTGCATTATTTCCCAATATGGGTAAAAAGAATAAATTACACATTACGGATTGAGTTAATATAGTTGCTTGCTTTTATCTTACTTGTTATGCTGCTATTAATAACACGAAGCCATGCAAATAATCCGTTGTTTTTATTCTTCGTTTTAGATGTTCTTAGTTGTGTTACATTAAGGAGAGGCGAATAGTTAAGAAGAGCAAGATTTAAAGCGTAGTAGAAGAGCGGCGGAGTGATGATCGATAAAGACGTACATAGGCGCTTCATAGGGCCGTCTGTATGGACAGGCCGGTATTTAGGAATTTATATTAAAATATGTAAATCTATTGGCGCGCGCGGGCATATTTGAAAACAGATAAATTATGCCGGCCGTGTATTGCGTTCTCGCGGTAAAATATCGACAGCGCGCAAGGGGTTGAGGCTGACGGCGGAAGCGGAGTTCCTCGCATAACGGCACGTTCTGTCGACCGGCAGAAATGCGATTTATGACGATCATTGTGTAACGATCATAAATTATTTCTTTATTTACGCGGAAGAGAAAGAGAGAAAGAGAGAGGAAGAGAGAGAGAGAGAGAAAGAGCGCGCTTATGCGTCCAATAGCAGCATTTGTATTCATTGTTTTTTCGTGCCTTTCACGTCTTTCTCATATAGTAACACCTGATGCTTCCAAATTCTGCCACTCTCTTCGCTTAGCTAGTTTACATTCTATAGCAACGAGTTAATCTCATAAATTGGGATTATCGGACACCTGTCATCTGTGCAACGTAAAAATGTGAAAAAAAACATCTCGAATTATTATAAAAATTTTAAATGTCATTTTAGTAATTAACAATTCAATATATTTGTAAATTAAAATTAATAGTGGTTTTGATTCGAAAACACCCCTTATTCAATGTATAAGTTATTATATTGCTTCAAAAACTGAAACTAATTTCACGAATTCCTGAATTTACACGATCCACTGAATGTTAAGGAACAAACATCCCGATTTAACTTCCTTAAATGCGTTCGTAACTGTTTCTGACAGGGAACAACTCACCTTCTCTTCTCTACTGACTCTATATGCTAACAGTTGTTTGACCGTGTTTCTGCAGTTCTCGCGCATTTGAATACATCTCAAAGTATATTTCGAGTACATCTTCTGTGAGTCTAAACAATTGATGAATATGTACATACGACTCTTGGAGAATACCTTTTACAACATCTTTTTCTGCCTCTTTATTTGCTTGAAATCTAAAAATAAATCTTTACTGCGAGCAACTACGAATTCGTATTTCGTTTTTGCTTGAGATATTACCAGAGATAGAATTTATATTTCAGAAATCAAAAATGAAGGAAATAAATTATAACAAAAATAATGATAATAATAAATTGTCAATAAAAAATACATTGATTTTTAAGAAAAGAAAGAGAGAGAGACTGAAATCATTCGATAGCACATAATTAAAAACTCTTTACGTATTCAATCAAGAAATGTATTTTTCTTAATTTTATCTAACGCAAAGTTAAAGCCTCGCAATTGAGAGTTGGAAAAAATGATTGCGATGCGACAGAAGTTTTGATTTGTGCCATTAAAGCAAAGAGCAAAACGTGGCGCGCAGCTGGATACAGCGACAACGAGAAGTCAGATTGCTAAGGGTTCGCTAGACAGGTTCGGGGGTTCCTGCAGAAGGTTCGTTAGCGAAACACTGGCAGTGCAAACATAGCTTAAACCGACTGCGTACGTGCGTCAATGCGGTGTCAAATTTGAAGTGATTCGCGGTGACGGCGTGCACGTGACGCGATGGAACTAAACGCGCGCCTTCGCCGACGATGACGACGAGGACGACGACGATCGTTCGGTATTGGCCCGTGCCGTGAGCCGCACATTGGGTTGAATATCGAACAAGCCTGTCTGTTGACTTATTAAAAGCCGGATGAAATTGGAGCGAAGGCGGAAAATTCGATTCCCGGATTTCGGCCGATTTCCGTGTTCATCGTGGTGGTGCGGTAGTGACCTCAATTATTTCGCCGCGAATGAAAGCTATTTTCTCGAGGTAACTATATTGCGCGGTTCCGAGTGCATTCGGACATATTTCTGATGGAGGTAGGCGACAGTGAAATTTTCGCGTTGATGTCACTAGTTCAAGGTTTTAAGATTGTAAATTTCAATAAAGAAGCTAAGAAATTGGAATTATATATCGGATATAAAAATTAAATGCTATCTAGGTATTTGCTCCTTTTTTGGTTTAATAGAAGAAAAAGTAAGAAATTTATTAAACATAATTATGACGTAATTAAATATTGTGAGCAAATTATTATACATTTCTTTTACAAATTATGTTTAGTCAATAATTATAATTAAATTAAATTCAAAAATTATTTTTTTTAAGAGAGAAAATATGTGACCTAATAATAATAATCTTAAAAATTAATATAAATTAAAATATATTACTGTAGGTATTTTTTAAATCGAATAAAGTAAAAGTAAGATATTTGACAAAATATCAGATTTGATTTTTTCTTAACTGTCTAATATTCCGTATAATTTCTGTATAATTCTGTATAATATCCGTATAATTTCTAAATTAATTTCTAAACTTGCAAAGTTTGTACAATAAGATTTTCAAGTATTAATAACATACTTAAATGCACATGCAAAAGAGAAAATAAATTAAGAATGCCATCTTTTTTCGTTTTAATTACATCTTTCTTTCGCCAAAGATGTTTATTTTAACAATCATATATGTGACATGAGTATACAGTAACCAAAACGTCGCAACTGCTTTGGCGCGTATTCTGCTCGGCGACCGGTTTAGATAATGCAGTTTGAACCGCGCGCTTTATGTGTTATCTCGTCGATTGCTCCGCCAACCCCCGAAATTTTCGAGCATCCCCATCACCCACCGTCTCCTTACCTCGTCTACTTCCCCTTGCATAATCTGCAATTGCGAAACTGCGAAGCGGAGAAGTTGCGGAATAGTTTCCCTCTCTTGCGCGAGTATGAATTTAATCGGTCTCCGCGCGACCGTCGAATTCGACGCGATTTGCGCGCGTAATGCCGGTCCCGAAGATGCAAAAGACCTGATTTGTATAATGCGAGATAATAAGTCGGTAAAAGAGAAGGACGGGCCGCGGCGGGATTATGACTTGCACGTTGCTGGGACTTTGATTTTTCGCCTTGCATTACAAGGGGCGTATACCCCGAGAATGAATATTATGGACGGCGCTCTTGTCAAGCGCGCAAGAGGGAAAGAGGAGAATCTTTCGCCTCCGTAATATAAATCCGCTCGTTTCATTCGTCCGCATCCCGGAGACATTCATGAGGTAAAAAGATGCGCATAATGTTATCAACGCATTCCCGACGTGGCCGCGCGTAGTTTAATCCACTGCGACGCTGATCCCCGTGGTATATACGATGAATTCCGTCCGTCGTCGTCTGTAGCTGCTAGTAATATTGGATGAGGCTAAAAGGAGAAATCTGAGAGAAGTGTCATTTGAATAATGTAGATAAGTTTACTTCGCTTGGAAAATACAAAAACAAGAAAGATCGTGATTCCTCCGGGTCGGAGGAGAAATATATACGCGCGCGGCATGATTTAATCTATCGAGAAAATACTGCGTCTATTGCGAGAGTAGTTTGTCAATGTAGCGAAATATTAAATAAAGAGAGTTCAACAAATTGCGTTTTTATTGAAATATGACATGACTTTTAGGCGGATTTTAATTAACAATTTATATACGTATATTGTATACGTTTTATATTTTTATTGACTGTGAAATATTTATTGAAAGCTATAAAAAGGTTAAAAATAATGCTTCTTAAATAATTGATTGTTTTGCACCAAATACGTTTTTGAAAAATTATTCAGGCTTCAGATAACAAAAAATTTATCTAACTATAAAAAAATCACTAACCAATTCTCTGTAATTGAATCCACATTGTGGAAAAACGAAAATATTATGGCCAGTAATGTTTTAATAATATATAGAGCGTGCCTAAAATTAAAAATATTATGTTTTATTGTCGGTATGCGAAATAAATATTATATACGAACGACAGATATCATCCAGCACACGTGCCCGGATGTTCATCGTTTTTCGATAAATCCTTGAATATTTAATTGCAGGAATATTGAAAGTCTGTCTCCGACATTGATACATAACTTCTTCGCCACTCGGTCGGAAAATTCATATCGGATTTATCGATGAAGTTTCCTCGGTGCACATCTTTGCCAACATCTTTACTTATGCAGGGGATTTACAATACCTTTATAAACAGCAGTTATTTCTTTCAAGAATACAAAAAGAGATCTCGTTAACCATTATTAAGAATAATTCGATAATCTAAAAATTGCTTTTTTTGTCAAAATAGTATTATTAGTAAAATAGTATATATATAATATATATATATATATAATATATATATATATATTTACTAATAATACTATTTATATATATATTGTATATCAATTTTATCAATACTATTTTTGGCAAAAAAAAAAAGCAATTTTTAGATCTCTTTCTTACATATGTATGTGCGGATTATTTATGTATAAATAATCCGCACATACATATGTAAGAAAGAGCCAGGAGCAGCGTCTTCTATCTACAACCGAAAGAGACAAAGCATAATTTTACATGTATACATCCACTCGTTCGAAATTGCGGCAATGCTCTATCGCGTATATAAACGAAGAGCTTTATCACCGCGAGGCTATCGTTATCACCGTAAACGACTCGGCGCTCAAGTATTTCCGCTTATTTCATATTCAGCCGTTCACGTAGGTGGATGATGACAACGAGATGACACCGTTAACGACACCCCGCGAGCGCCTTCTCCATAGGGTGCGCTTAACTTCGGCACTCGCACTCTCTATACTCTAGGAACCGCTGTTATACGACGACGAGCGTCCGTGCACGATGTAACGACGCCGGTCGTGATTTAAACGATATATCAAGTCGTCGGTTGCGCGAGCAGCGCGTGTGTTGAGGTATTATCGTCGTTATTACGGCCATTATCGCGCGAAATGATAGCATTCATCCCGCTCCTTCCCACGTTTTCACGTGTTCACTCGCCATCAGGCCTCGATCTGTGTTCAGGAAAATCAAGTTATAGAGCGCTCTATTAGAGAATTGCGACCCAAATGACGTCTAGACAAGTCTGTCTGTTGTCTATTTGTATCCCGTATGATTTATTTTCTCGGAGAAACTCTTCAACTTTCCTGATTGATCAATTTGTGCTGCGTCATTCTATCACCACCAAACGGCTTGCTTTACTAATGACGATGGAGGTATTTCTTTCGTAAAATCGAGTAAATATGTTTTAAAAGTTTGATAAACATTTTATTCGAATGCGTGCATTTTAATTCGATATTTATATCTATCTCATGCGCCAGTGATTGTATAATTAAAATTGATAAGTTTTATTTCATTCGAAAATATTTATACCTTCTTCTTCGACACAATACTTGTTATTATTCTTGAAAAAAAAACGTTTCTTTTTATTGCAGAACTTGTTATTATACACTGCTTAATTCATATGAAGCATCATATATGGAGAAATCGTTAATTATGTTTGAAAGCTATTTTCCATGCACGAATTATCCATGCAAAACGCGTACCGTAGCGTCATTAGGTATCTCTTCCTTTTCTCTTTATCCAAGCCAGCCATGTTTCTTTATAAAAAGAATTGTGATCTCACGTGGGTCATTTTGCTCGGGAAAAGATTCTAGGATCTCTAGAGGTTGAATGGGGTTGACGTATTGAAAAGGGTGCTCTTTCTCGCAGAGCAAAGGAAACGAATGCTCGATTTCTGTCGACTTAACGAGACACCG